CCAGAACAGACTTCATAATTCCTCTGAACTTCTCTCGTCCAGCTTAGTCGCAGATGTCCTGAGCATGCTACATTCCAGCATTCTGCATTCCAGCATTCTGGACTCTGGAACTGCTGAGTTTCAGAACTGCAGAACTGCTCGAGCTCCTGCAGAACTTCTTCATCTACGAAGTGCCAACATTTAAAGAGCTCTATTTCCGGTTCATTTGGGAGTTTCTGATTGGTCGATGGACCAAAACAGAGGTGTGTTTTGTGATGTACGGTGTTATGAAAAGTCAAGGAAAAAGATTAAGATTGTTTAAGAACAGACAGAAGATTGTTATGAAGAACTCAGACTTCGTGGAGTCACTTCTCTAGTATCTTGCTGTAAAAGTTAAACATGACATTTCTTTTTCAGTAAACTTGCAGTTGACCGAAACTTGAACTTTGACCAACTTACACCACTTGCTCATTTCAAACAGACGATCAAGAAATTGAATCATTACTCTGTAACATATTCCAACTTGATTTCACTTTGAATGAGGATTAAAAATCGTTATTACTGTTTCACAGTTGATTTAAAAAATGAGTAGTTCACTTCAACATTTAAACATTGTTTTAACTAACACAATTTGATTATCAAAACATTTGTAAAATGGTAATGATAATAGAAAGTAGTCTTCTTTTATTTGATTAATTCAAGAAAGAAAGTCTCAGGATGGGTCAACCTGTATTTCTGGATTCAAATCAATGAAATGACAGTTTCTGTCCCATATGGTCCTTAAGGTCAGGACTTGACCTCAGGCCTAGTTCACTACAATGCTATGATGACTTCTAAAAATGGATGTCCCAATAAACACAATAAAAAAAATTCAATGATGCATCAAATGTTGTCTGAGTATGTTTTAAGGGAATAACAAATGTGAAATCTGGAAAACAAAGAGAATTCCTGAATCTGTCTTGTGTGCTTTGATGTGTACATAAGTTTATCGGAGGTCCTGAAACAACTTTTCTGAGAACACAATGATTTTTATTTTACCTTTGACCAAGATGTCGGTTTGAAATCAGGCTGCTTACTGCAAAACCAAGAGTTTTTTTTAAGACAGACAGTCTTCATTTATATTGTTTTGTCGACTAAGCTAAATTTAATTTCTAAAATATGGATAAATCTGATCTCATCATGCAGCATAAGCAACTGGGTATAGGTGTGAGGGCCAAAAGTCTGGTTATGTACTGACTCTTAAATGTGCTTGTTTTCTACTGAAACATGTAGTACGGTTGACCTTTAAAATGTGAGACATCTGAGGAAGTTAACCAGTAAACAGAAATACCTGCTCCAGTTGCAGAAATCTTACAGAAACTGACAACCACTCATCTATAGTGACTGCAAGTTGAACAAGAAAATGTGAAGTTAAAGGAAACATCCTTTGTCCCAAGGCCAGTTTAAGTATCATTCATATTTTTCTTTCTTTATGAATCGATTGTAACTTTTTTCAAATTTTTCAACAACCAAAATGGAATTTGTTTTTTAATGTTACGGCTTGGTATTAAAAAAAAACCCTAACATTTAGCTCTCCCCACTACCCAGTTATGTTGCTCTTATTTTGAATTGTAACCAGAAGTTCTGTGTTAAGAGAGGCGGAAAAAGAAGTTATGGAGATGCCGCGGCAGTAAACTGGAGCAATGTCGAACCGAGACTCCGCTAATGTCGAACCGGTTAACACCATAGACATAATATGCCTGTGGTTAACACAATCTGCCAACAACGCCTTGTTTTTAGACATCATGTGTCTGTGGTTACGGCATTTTATCGTTCAGCCTTTTTTCTATCGTCCAATCAGATGTGGCCGGCCAGACACACCTATTTTTCTATCGTCCAATCAAATGTGGCCGGCCAGACACGCCCATTTTTCTATCGTCCAATCAGATGCGGCTGGCCAGACATGCCCACTTTCCTATAGTCCAATCAGATATGATCGCCCAGATACGCCTTCCGAATTTGCCTGCAGAGATACCTACTTGGCTTGAAGAAGAAGTAGTGAAGAAGATGTGATGTAGAAGAAGAATGATGTAGAAGTAGTGAAACTTAACTTAACTGTCTGTGTGTTACAGATTGACTTTGGTCCACCTCTCGGAAGAGGGGTGGTCCTAACTCTGTCATGTTTGATAAAATCTAATGTCCATTTTCTCTGTCTGCCTTTAAAAGTCACTCTTCTTTTTAAAAGAGAAAAACATAAGACAAGTGTTTATCTTTAAGAGAGATTACTTAGACATTTTCATAAACAAACATTCAGTTCTGAAGCTTTTGAAATAACATGCAATGTTCATCAAAAGGTGTCGCTGTTCATCTCGTGAAAAGAAATTGTCATTTTAAACAAAGGGTTCTTTAAAATGTGTTATCTTCATGGGAACCCATCCTGGGAGTAATACTCCTATTTTTTAATTTTTTTTTTATAAAAGTTCATCTCAGCAGATGTTTCACTTCGAGGTCAGTTGAACCAAACTCATTAAAACGACCTGTCCATTTCATGGGAAATTAGTTCATATGAAAGTGAAGTTAGCACAGTAACAGTTTTTTTTTTTATTACACTTTCATTAGTGTCAACTAAGTTAGTGCTGAGTTGAACACCTGTAAAGCAAAGTCTGTTTGTTCCCAAGGGAATAGATGCATCTTATTTTAAACAGTTTAAAACACAAAACACATGAATGATGTTTGTTTGAGATGAGGTGAACTCCTTTTTCTGTTTACGCTGAGATGAACCGTTTTCTGAGATGAGGTGTTCTTTTTCTGAGGTGGTGTTCCCCTACACAATCCATACACCGACCAGTGCAGTTTGGTGGGTGCCATTTAAGAACCTCGGTTCGGTACTCAGCTCTAATATGAACAAAACTATAGCAAAGATGCGTCTCTGTTTAACTTGTGATTTTTTATTTTTTATTTTCCAAAACCCTCCAAATGTTATCTCTGTTAAGGAGTCAGTTTTAGGTGTTTGTAGTTCATCATAAATATCTGCTCATTCGAATCCTACACTGTTTTAAATCATATTAGGAGTGGTGGCACAGAGATTAGAGAAGGTGGGTCTGTGATCAGAAAATTGCCGGTTCAACTCCCAGTACGGACAACATCAAAATGTGGGTGGGAAAGGTGAAACACCCACACCTGCCTCCACCCTCATTTGCCCCACTCTGGGCCCTTGAGTAAGGCCCTTAACCCCCACAATCTGTTCCTCCGGGAGCCGTAGATAGCAGCTCTCTGCTCCACACAGAGGACTGTAATTGCATTAGGAAGGGCATCCGGCATAAAATTATTGCCACGTCTTAGTGCGGCTTAGTTCACAGTGGTGACCCCTGAAGAAGGGAGGAGCCAAAAAAAGAAGAAAAACGTATTAAAGCATTAAAAACATGGTTTTGGGGATTTGGATGAGCTAAATTGTTGATATTTGGAACCAGACTGTATGAAAAATGTAAAGCATTTAATGATCAAATATGAAATATAAATGCTGCCTTCTCAATAACAGGCAGTTTGCCTGTATTATTACCAATCATGTGGTTTTTAATGTTCAAGTATTTTTAGCAGCAAGAAAGTTCATAATTTGTCATTTATAAAATGGTAAATGGACTGTACTTATATAGTGCCTTTCTATCTGATCAAGATACTGAAAGGGCTTTACACTACAATCTGTGCCCTCATTTACCCATTCATACAGCACTCTACTAGATCTCTACAAAGCTAATTGAACAAATCATTTTAAAGAGACTAATCAGTGCATTATCACATTCATTCATTCAACCTTTATTTAGACAGGTAAATCCCATTGTGCCTCGAGGACTCATTTACAAGAGAGACCTGATTTCAACAAAGAGTAATGAAAACAATGGACAACAGCAACAATAGACAAAAAAAGGCATACAGATTTATTTATTTATTTATTTTTTTTACAAATAAGATAGCAAGAATAGTAACAAAAAATACCTAGATTATAAGGCGAATATAGAAAATTAAAAAAACAGGAACATGTCTGCATTGGTCCTTGCCAGGAGTCCCAACAGATTCTTAAAGCCACTTAGAGAGGTCAAGGTCGAGCGCTTCAGATCTTTTTGTAAGATATTCCAGGAAACAGGAGCGGAGTAGGAGAAGGCCCTTTTCCCTAGTTCAGTCCGCACTGAGGGAACACTGCAGGTAATAATGTCCTGAGAGTGCACACTGTAGCTGCACTCACGCAGAGACATGTAGGAGGAGACATTCATTCATTCATACACTGATGGGACACACATCGGAGGCAATGAGGGGTTCAGTGTCTTGCCCAGGGACACTTCGGCATGTGACTGCTGGTGGATTCGAACCCCCAACTCTTGTATTGGAGGACGACTGCTCTAACCACTCAGCCACAGCTGCCCTTTTATAACAGCAGCCTTCATAATGGGCAAGTTTATTCTCAGCGATAAAACTCGTAAAAGTTGACACTGGAAGGGTGATTTAGCTGTTAAGTAACTTTTTTAAATTCAAAAGAGTGATTAAAAATAACTTATTACAGGTGGTTCTTTGTTCAGAACAGAATAACTTAATATGTATTTTTTCTGCCTTTAAAATTGTTCTTTTGTTAGTATTTATGTATATGCAGACAGAAGATGGTGATTGTGAGGGTAAAATTGTGTGTGTGTGTGTGTGTGTGTGTGTGTGTGTGTGTGTGTGTGTG